AGGACTAACACTAAGCCTAACGCAGAGGGACGAATTCCGAAGCGAATGAAAATTGCTTTCGCAGCTCGGATTCCCTCTTCTCCTTCAAAGCTTAGATCCAAAACTGAGCGAATCCGTGAATCTGACGCCAAGTTTCTGGCTGCCCCCCGGGGCCGCATTGCGCCCAGACCCATATTCCACCTCTGCAAGCTCCACGAGTAATCGTTCGAAAACCACATCTGAGAGCATTCCTGGAAAAAGGTGGGACAACGAGGTTCTTGAGCGGAGGAATGCCGATCCCTTTTCGTCGAACGGGAGCGATTGCAAGGGACACTCACCAGCGACTGGATCAACGCCGCGAAGGAAGGCCAGCCGCAGACGACGCGCGGTCCCGCCGCGAACGCGGTCATCGACCGACCCCTCGTGCTGCCGACGCGCTGACGGCGTCATTTGTGCGTGGCGGTACGGCGACGCGGTCGTCGTGTCGCGAGCGTGTCGTTGCGGTTTCTGAAGCTTTGCGACGCGGTTCTGGAGCGGTTGCGCGACGTAAGCGTGAAACAGCGCGAACGGCCGCTTTTCGAAGCCACAGTGGGACCCCTCAGGCCAAGGGCCGAAGTCTCCCAGCGACTTCCCAATGCCTCCTACCGCCTCCAGAGCCGTGAGTTTGCTTACAGAAGACACCGTAAAGCCGCTTATGGGTAGCGACGCATGCTTCAGAAACCGTCAGCGATGCTTGATCATACTTGTACCTTCGGCTGCATCTCATCTGCTCCCTTCTTTATATAGTACTTCTTGTATTCTATGCAGACATTCTTTACAGCAAAGAGCACCATTTCAGTATGGAAGTTGCAAGCGCTCCTCCTAGAAGATCTCAACCTCCAACCACACAGCCTTCCAGCCAGCAGCAAGCACCTCGAAGCGGTGAATATCAGCTGACCGAACTGAAAAATGTGCCTACTAGAGCAGGTACTGGATGCTTACTCTCTTGGGTTGCTCAAACTTTTAAGAACCGCCTTTCCGCTTTCGCCATTCGTAGAAGTGTTAAATCCTCGGTCGGAGTGGTAACGTTTCAGCAAGAGTCGCCTCTGATGATTTCGATAGGGGAGAGAAAGCTTTCCCTACCATTGACTCATCGATCGACGAAGAACTGGCGTTGAGCGCTACAGCTCCTGAGTCACAACCGCGCGATGTTACAGACGAAGATTTCCAGGTAATAAAAAACTGTTCTCATCTTTTTTTACTGCAAATTTGCTCGTATGATTTTGAAGGCATCATTTAGATTCGATTGATCAATGCAGTTCGTGAAAATCCCTGCTTGTACGATCCACTGAACGAGTATTACCGAGATAAGCCTGAGAATACGAAGTTCCGCCTCAGAGTTTGGGACCAGATTGCAGAGGAATTGCACTGGCAATGTAGGTTTTACTTTCTTTTATTATGTTGTTCGATAAGTTGTGTCGTTTTTTTTTCGAAAGCGCAATTTTTCTTCTGTGATCCACGTTTCCACACATTGATTCCCATTTGAAAGCTGATTGGCCATTTTTCACAATACATTGTACGTATTTTATCACCATTGTAATTTGACCGAATTACAAGTTTACAAAGTGGGAGGTTTAGTAGACGAAAGTCTGCAAGTCATAAAATCCGCTTAACATTCCATTGTTGAGTGGTTTAACAAGTTGTTGTTCCTTTTAAAATTTCGTTATCCACCTTGACTACCTTGCCTGCTAATTTATCGAATCAATGTTTCTTGAACTTTCCGCGAAGCATGAATACAGTATGTTCGAATTCAGTAGTTATTAAGTACATAGCACCTCCAATCGTTTATTTCTGCATTCTGAAAAAAAAAACTACGAATTAAATTGACTGGACACCTACTCGCGTAAGAATAAATACTATTAGAATCATAGCGAAACATGTATCATAGAATATTCTTAGAGCGAAAACGCGCTTAGAGTTCAGGAGAAAAATTTAGGCTGAAAAACTAGCACTTTGTAGAGCAGTCTTAAAAGGCCAATATTAAACAAGACGATTGACTTTCTTTGCCTTCGAAACGATAAACGGATGTTCACACCTGGTAGAAGCCGATTGCTTCTTTTCGGCAGAACATAGAGTTTGACTCCGTTGCCGGTTTGGGTGCTTTTTATCTATCTAAACCTCCCACTTTGCAAGCTTATTTCCGGTGCTTACTGAATTCGTCTTTCCGAAAAAAAAAATGTAGCGAGACGGTATGAAGAATATCTTCACTAGAGAGACAATCTTGCGCTTTTCAGCTGACTTGAGCTTACTTATCGACGAGTGGCCATCGCTTTCGTGAATCTCTAATAGGTTCACAACAAACGAAGTTGTGCTGAGGTGAGCACAACACTCTGCTTCTTCTTTTTCATATCTTCTCTGAATTATTTTTCCCTAAGAATTGTGCCATTATCGACTTCATGTGCGTACAGTAACTTAACCCCCTATACGGACGGCTCAGAGTATTTTTCGGTGCGCCACCATATGCTCGGCACGCCCTGTCCACCCCGGGAGGTTTTATGTCGGCTTATGCACAGACAGGCGTTAATAGACGGGCTAAAGTAGACGGTCCGTGTCTCATTATCCAGAAGAGAGATTCCCGTCGATGACAACTTCGTAACCCGTCTTTCCGCTTCAGAACTAGGGTGCAAAGAATGAATGGAAGCTGTAGGTGACATTATCGAAGAATGCAAAACAACAACCCCGAGCAAGGAGGCTATATTTAGGCAAGTAATGTCTGCGACACCATGTGCACCATGGTAAGGCCTTCCATCAAATAGGTAAACTTTAGATGTATATAATTATAACATGTATCTAATATAAAATCATTTATTGTTTGTCAAAAATCCAGTCGTCCAGGTCCTGGGAAGATATGTTATTCCACATTGCTGAGAGTATATACGGGTGTATTAAGATTGCTAGAAACATTACAAAAACACAAGAAATAATCGTGCGCCACCATGTGCGCACGCGCCGGAGGGCGGGCGCCGTCCGCTATTGTTAAAGACAAGACTTCTGTCAACCGAAGCGTGAGAGTGTAGATGGGTAACAACTTTGGCAATTCTAAAGCTAAGCCTTTCATAGGTAACAAAGAAAGCAGAGATAATCTAATTGTTTGCATGTGTGATAGCTCCTAGACAATGCTAGACCCGGACGTCGATTGCCGTAGCGCCTACACGCGTTGAACAGAAACCCTGAACCTTGTTTCCATAGTGAACGCAATTATTATGGTCAAAAAAAATAGTTGGAATATGTAGGTGCGAGGTCAATAGCAGCAGGACTAGTAGTATAAATAGAAGCATTCAACGTAACCAGGAATGGATTGATTGGTCGAAGTGGCCATATGTAAAGAGACCTACACCGGTGGATGCGTTTTTGGACGCTGATCTCGAATCTGCTTTCCAAATCTGCCAAACGATTTTCCGAATGGAGTTATGAAGGAAAGTAGTGCAGCGGTAGTAGTCCGGGTTCACGTGCGAGACGTCGTAGGATCGATTCCCTGGCGGGTTCTTTTTTGCCTTCGCTGCAAAATGATTGAAAAAGGCTCCCAAGCTACCTTACTCGATCAATGCTTGCCTGTAGTTACCCGTGCAAAGACTTTGCGAAGAGTTTCTAATCAGTTTCTGCGGTACTCACTAAGACTGCACATGGAGCCCACAGAACTCTTGGCAGACGTTTTTGCAGCAAACAAGTGTGATATTCGTGTTCCGGAGATTAAAATACCCCTAGGGACAAGTTTGTAGCCAAATTTGAGATTTCGACCAAATTTCGAAATAAGGCTGGGTGGGTATCTATCCATTCATCCATCAGCCTATCATCGAAGCTCATAGCCTTGACCTGTATAGCCTTGAGACGATATAAGTTTTTTTTTTTTTGGTTTCTGAAGAGTGCAAAGCAGTGTCTGGTTTTCTATTCGCATGATTTCAACACCCACATTTTATTATTTCCAAATTTAAAGGGTC